CAGCTGTCGCTAATCGGATTCGGAGTGGTACTTGCTGCCATATTATAGTTGATAGACATATTTCAATGATACCAATCAATGCATGTTAGTCAATGAGCTGTGAATTGTGATACATTTTCTTGATAAAATGTCACTGATTAAATTTTTCTGATTAAATTTCTCTTACAAAAATTTGTTGCAAGCGCTATTGAAGCAGTCATTTATCATTTGATTTACGCTGCAATTTGCTTTGTATGCATGTCAATGATCAGATTTATTTGTATAACCGGATGAGTTGAGTACAAATTGAAGAGCTTTCACATATGTATGTATGGTGCTGAAGTATGTACTTACATATGCAACTATCTAGATTCATATGTACACAGGTACATGTTGCACGTATACATACGTGCGCGCACGCAACACTTTTAACAGCACAGCACAGCCACCCAACTCTATGTACACTAAATATTACTCATACGTAGCAGTGTCCCATGTGAAATGCTCACAGGTAGGCAGTGACTATAAAGATATGGATGCTCATAAATTACTCTTCCAACAATATTCGCATTATTGAACTTTTAAAGTGCAATCACGATATTTAAACACTTAACACAATATTATTGCAGCATGCTACGTGCCAGCCGTGCAAAAAATAAATGAATAATTTTGTAAAAAGGTGAAAAGTTTCAGCTTTATTGGTTTAATATTAATGCCTGCATAGCAGCATGCAAAAGAATGTGATAAATTTGAGTATAAACAATGGATATACACGTGTATATATTATCAGCATATGTAAATGTATGTAAAAAAGAACAAATATGAAAAGCATGGAAGTGTGAAAAAGGGCCGCAAACAAAGCGAGAGAAAGCAAAGTAAATAAAATGAAAAGAAACACAAATCAACGCTGACATTACCAATACGCAGACAATTCGCACACAATTTTATTAAAATCACGCAGACGTATATATGTATATATTTGTATGTAGTCTTGCATATGTGAGCGTGCACACGTGCAAGTCATAATAATTCACAAGTTACGCTATCTGCTGGCAGCGTCGGTGTAAAATTCGCAGGTGGCTGCATTGATTTGGCATAGCAGGCTTACATATGTCGATATGTATGTATATGTGTATGTACATTAGGGTGGTCCAGAAATGCATGTAAAAAAAAGTATCGGCGGAATTTTTAGGCTCTCACCCTCCAGAATTGTTCTATTGAAAATCAGAATTTTTCGATCGGAAAACTCGGGTTCTTTTTTCCCAATAATAATACCCAATACCATTTTTTCATAATAACTATATTTTATAGGCCCGCCAAAAACCCCACAAAATGCAATGGGGGTCCATTAAAAAATCGTTTATATTAAAAAATGTTTAAATAAACAATTGGGTAACATTTCTGGAAGTCTCCTGAAGAGAAACAGAGTTTTCCGAATGATTTTCAATACAAGTCACATTAAACCAACGAATAGGAGTTAAACGTCCTACCAACTTGGTATGCTTGCGAAAAGTTTTCTTTGCCTTTTTTAGAGCCTCTATTTTTTTGGAATTTTTTTTTTCTCAAATATTTAAAAACGTGTGAATGTGTTTTTGATTGCCCACATTGTTTGTGCATGTGTAGTTATTTATTTTTGGATGGCCACTATTGAGGAACTCCGCAACAAGCTGAATTGTATAGCTGAAAGCCAGAAAAGCGCTGAACGTATGAAAAGCTTGTTGTGGAGTTGTACTCTTAGTGCGCCTCATTTCTCAACTGGAATCAGGCAGTCAGCAATGGAAAGGCGGAAATCTCGATCTTAGCTACTCGAAATTCCCACCTGCTCCCGAAATGAACTCTTCAATAAACCAACATATGCTAGCAATAGTACCACATCTCCCGGTCACTATATATGTACCAACTTCGCACAATTAAGGCAAGCTTATTCGGAAGATTTGCTGAGCCGTATGAGCTTTATATCTATTCGGACGTTGTTCTGTCCTTCCATAGAACCCAGGCCCTACAGGGTTGTAGTACGCGGCTCTCACCACTCGGCTACGACAGCAAGTGCTCCCATGTTTTTAACTGAAGAACGAAAAGTGCATTTTAAAATGACACTCAAACCTTTTTAAACACTCAAAGGAGGGGAAAAAACTTAATAAATAAAAAAGATTAAAAAACTAATCTTCAAAAAAAGAATGCTTAAGTAGAGAAACCTTTATGAAATATCACCCGTGACCCTTATCAACTGATTGTAAGAGTTAATTAGGCAGGCATGACCGAAGCAAATTTTCACAAAACAAACCAACACATACTCCTCAACAAGCAATCACCAGCAATACAACTACAAATTGCCTTCTATTAGCGATATGTCTGATTAGATTTCAAACGAAAAGGGAAATAGAAATTGAGATGACTTGAGAATTTTACAAGAAAAATAAAAATAAAACTAAAAGTGAAAGTGAAAGTGAAGGAAGAGGATTTGTATTTCACTTTTCAATTTAACTTTCAAATCCCAACATCGTTCATGTTGTTTCGCGTTTACGTCAAACTTACAAGCGTAACTTGAGCTCTCTTATAATCTACATAAGTTTTGTTGCTGTTATTGTGTAAAGCAATTTTAACTTTACCTCTGCATTTTATGGCATAATGTCTGTATATTTTTTTCGATTTGTATTCTAACAGCAACAGTTTTGTTAGCAACGCATTCATTCGTTCTTTTACGCTTTTGAATTAAACGCTGCTTCAATCAATGCACACCATCTATCCCGCCCACTGGCTCTCTTACTCACCCACTGGCTCTCTTACGCGCCCACTTACTCAATCGCACAATCATTCATTCATTTTTGCATTCTATCGTTCTTTCATTCTGGCAGTCAGTTTATTTACTTTATTTTTTCCAAATCTTTCGTTGTAGCTACAACAACCGTGCGCGGTTAAGGCTGCCGCTGTTGATGTGGACGGTCCCGCTGCCCCACCCTACGACCTGGATGCGATAATAAATCAGCTTTTGTATCCTAATCCGGTTTATCAATTGCATGTAAGTACGAATATATTGTGTTCATTTTTGTGCTATAAAATTTTTTGGTAGTGAATATGTATGTATGTAAACATCGGCCAAAGGTGAATGAAGTCCTATGTAGTATTTTTCTTATTTCATATTTATTCGAATTTTATGATTAGCGGAAATTTTTCTCCTTTCAATTGAGAGCGAAGAAGAATAAGGAAGTGAATGTAGGAGGAACAGAATAAATGCGCGTATTTTAGCTATAAATAGAAAACATTGTTTTTTATCTATTTCTTGTACCTTACCGCTCTTTAACAGTACTGCTCGAATTTTAATTAGTAAAGAAATACATACACCGTCAGCAAAAAGTATTGGCACAGCAAATTTTTCACAATATATGCGAACAAATTTTTGTAATATTTTTCCGGCAATTTTTTATAAAAATTTTTTTTCACTCTACAGCAAAAAGCATAAAAATATAATTCCTAAACTTTGTGCAAAATTCACGAAAATTCAGTAAATTTTCATGCAAATTTTCAACTTTTTAATCAGATTTTCTGGAACTTTTTTGAGTATGCAGATTTGTAGCTCAATCAATTTTATTATAATAAAGTACAGGTTTTAAGTAGCTATGAACCGTTAATTTTTGGCAATTTTTTTCACGCAGTCTTTTCCATAAAAAATTTGTTTTCGAAAATACTTTATATGGAAAAAAATGCAAAACACCTTCAACAAAAAAAAA